CATCCACCAGTACCCCCAAGTCCTTCTCGGCAGGGCTGCTCTCAATCCCTTCATCCCCCAGCCTGTATTTCAAGTTGTTAAAAATCACATTAGCCCTGAAACATAAGGCTTAGTAATGCTTTCAAAGTTTTTATTCTGGTACCTTTTATAACTCTTGTTACACATGTTCAAACCTGGTTTTGAATCCCTGCTACGTTCTTGGCCTCTGTAATTGCATATAGCATGGATTTCCACAACATAATTGCTCACTTTGCAAGAAATATTTTTTTATATTATTAAACTCACCACTGTTTAAATTTTATTACATTGACTGTCCCTGTGGAAGGAAAACTCAGATTAGTTGTGGTAATTTGAATTTCCACCTGAAAGAAAATAATACTTTGCAAAATTTTGTTCCCATGTTCTTGAAATCTCATCACTCATGTTGTGCTGTCTTTGGATATGTCCGAGAGGGACGCATGGATTTTTACAGTATAATGAAAGAATGTTATAATGTAGTGAAGTTTATTGTATGCATCTAAATGGATTTGAGACTTACAAGTCTTAAACTTGTAAGGAGTAAATAAAATACTGGGGAAAAAATGATTAAAAATTCTGCATTTTAAAAACGCTTCCCAGTTCTTTTAGGAGACATCCAAGACTAAAAGTCTGCCATACGTGACATGGATTTGCATAGTGCTAGTGATTAAAAAAAAATTCAAAAGTAATATCTGTCATATTTCAGCAGTGTAATTTTTGTTTGATGGGAAATTTAGCAGCTTTATAATGCTGCTAAAAAGCTAGAAGCTAGCTAGAAGCTAGCTAAAGCTAGAAGTCTCTGACTGTAATATAAATGGACAAGAAAGAAAAAGGCAAGAAACTGCTAATATTCTTATTTGTTCTTATTATTACTTTTAAAACAAAACAAATCCAAGCTTCCTTTCTTTTTCTTAACAGAGTTCCTGCTGTTTCCCAGCCTGTTTTTCTGCTACTCACCTTCCAAGTTTCTCATCTTGCCTGCAGATCTTCTACAGCTCCTAGTTCTTAGTTTCCATCCCTTAATTTCACCTTTTTCAGTTTTTTCTCACCTTTTCCTTTCAAATATGTCTTCTGTCCTCTACACAATCCCTTTCTTTGTCCTGCTTAATTCTGCATCTTCTGCCCACCCCTTTTTGACATTGCCTTCTTTCCATAATTCTCTATAATTCAACATTTCACTTTGAGACTCCGTATCTTTCATCCTTTCCATCTTCATGAGACTCTCCTAGTCCTAATAGTTAATCCACAATCCAGCAACCTATAGGTTTTCTTCTTCTGTCATTTCTTTTTCCTTCTTACCTTACATTGTTAGGATATGTAGTGAATTTTCCTCCGTCTTTGTAAAAAGCTTTTCATTTTACTAATGTTCATTACTACAATATCTTCATTGGTCTTGTACTGCTTCATTTTTCAGTGAGTACTTACAGTACAGATTTGTG